CGTGTGTAATTACATACCACGACATAATTCGAATTCATATACATCTCGATCATTTAATTTCTCTTATATAATTAAACGCTATTTATCAAGCGCTATTACAAATATATTTTTTCTATGGTATTTTCTATATTTGTCTACATCTCTATTTTTCTTTACATTTTCTGCATAATCATGTTATGAAATGTTGAATGTTAAACATTTCTCCCGGTATATTTTTAGTATTTCGATGCGACAAAAAAACTTTGTCGAGAGAATGCAATCACGATGGGAATTCGAAATCACACTCGACCCTCGAACAAAGGCTATTGATGTTTAAATATATTTCTCACTTAAATATTGCAGTTTAATATATTGATGCAGTTACAAACAAACAATTGTCATTTTGTCGTTTGCCGTTTTATTCTGATATCTCGTGAAATTGTGTTACATTGTTACAGATACCGTGCGTATAAAGGATTCGGTCGAACAAAACCGTGTATAAATCCGAAATCGTTGGTACATGATTATTACGTTTAGCGTTGCGGTGATCGTTACACACCGCGAGCTATGATATAACATCATTATATCATTATAGGCGACATTTCACATTTTCCGACGATTGAATGGAAATTGAATTTCCGCCAATTAATGTCGTCGTGAGTATTTTGGGAATTTGAGACTTTGTCCACTATTGAAAATAATTCAATATTGACGTATCTCGTTTCGTTAGGATGAAAAATTGCTTATACGGGAAAATATGGCAAAATTTTTGTTTGACATTGTGTTTTTAATATTTAAATCTAAACTCTTTTTAAAATGTATGTGTTTTCATTTATATTCTCGATTTCTTTATTACTCCTCGTGCGTTATTTCAAGTTGATGTATTCTGCGTATTATTTATTTTTGACTATTTTAGGCTAACAAATTGTTACACAGTAAAAAATTGTGCGTCCATATGTTAAAATTTTCTTGTTTTACTAATTTTCACATTTTGATTAGTACTTCAATGTAAAATTAACCTACAACTTATATGTTATTATTTTTATGTTTTCATGTGTTACATTTATGTCAACTTCATAACTTAATGACATTGTATATGTCTCTTAGAAAAGGGAATATTATTTTGAGTATTTTTGACATAATCATTTTAAACAATCAATATGTCTCAAAGTCAGTTTAACGTTCTAAGAAAAGTTAAAGTGAATTTTCAAATAACTTTGACATACAAAAATAATCAAATTTAAAGTCAAATGTTTCTATTACAAATAATTTAAATTAAAATAATTACTATTGTATGTTAATGTCCTCAACATTTCTTACGAGTTATTGTAACTATTTTTCCATGTAATTTTTAATTCATTTGTATGTTATTTTTACATTACACTTGAAGTCACAAAAATAAATGTAAAGAATCGTGTCAATTATTTAACATTTTTAGTTTGTCAATAAGTAACATACGACGAATGAGTTATTTTAACTTCAAATTTAGAGTGAACTTTCTAGGACAAAAGCTGTGAAAAATGCTATAATTAACATTTTATTTTTTACTGTGTACGTATAAATTCATCTTTCAGAAAGTCATAAGATTCAAGCCAACTTAAGGAATACCCACTCGACATTTTAATCCCCAGAAATCGTACCAACGCTTTCAATCTCTGTAATTCTCCATTGAGAAAAGACTCGCATCCGGATATCTCGCACTATTTCGCAAAAGCCACGAGGAAACACGCTGAGGCGCGAGTTGAAAGTTAAAAAAGGATTTAGCTGTTACTTATGCATAACCCGAGCGAATGGCGCAACTTTTCGCCGACGAGATACACGCGGTGTAAGATGCACGTACCATCGTAACGGAGTGTTGCTACGAGAGCGAAGGAGGGTAGAGGGTTGGAACTTATCGTCCGTGTCTCGAGTCCGGGGGAGCTTCGTGTATGTTATACCCGGTGACGCGGATATATTCCGGAGCGAGGCACGCGCTCCTATCACCCGGTCTCCGACACGGCACGTATATTTAACGTCTAATACGACGGCGTCATGTTACGCGAGAACTCACGCGGAAACGGTAAGACAAGAGAGAGAAAGAGAAAGACAGAGAGAGAGTTCTCTTCGAGAATACGCGAGTCCCATAGGACGGTGTATCCTGGAGGTGGCCGTCGAAATAGGAAATTCCATTTGCGCCGCGAGAGAGTTTTCGAGATAGAAATAGTTCACGTTCGTTGACAACATGTTATTCATCGCGGATTATTCATTGGAAAATACGCCAATCGCTTGGCTGCAAAGTATGTTAAAATTATTATATAACAATTATATAACAATAATATTAGAAAAACTGTGAGAAGTATAAGTCTGCTTTTACATTAATAAAAAATATAGATACTCTCTCTTATTTATACTTTACTTGAGAAGTAATGTTTTGATTCATAAATTTAGATTTGTGCATAATTAATGTAAGAGAAAATCTAATCTCTCTGAATTTTTAAATTTTTTTTACATTAAATAGGAAGTTTCCTCCATTGGCAACGCATAATAATTCGCGAGATCTCCTCTGTCTTTCATGAGCGCTTAAAGCTTAAGACATTGACACGAATGCACATATACAATGGCGATACTGTCTCTCGCGAAGACGTATCGCTTCCCGATTCTGCAGCGATGAGGCTGATGCCCTCAGCACATACGTACATAATAGAGTTTCCATGGAGAAAAGGACAGATACGGAGCTCGTTACTCATCTGAAACAAGCACGCGAGCCTCTTTTCTCGCGGTCGTTATTGCTGCTACATCTACCTTCTCTCGACATTATTTGCGACGACCCGGTTTCATTCGATCTTATCCGCCAATCGCGTATCGAACCTTGTAAAGGTGACTCTTCGTAAACATCATGGGAGCATCTTTAATTCTCTTCTCTTATTAATTCATTTTGATAAAAAATTGATATTAATATAGCTTAATACTTTGTTAATATTATTGATCTTTCTCAATATCATAATTAATTTTTATTATCCATTTGAAATATTTTTATTTTTACTATAAGGATTCAAAAAATAGAATTGATTATTTATAAAAAATTATATCCTCAGTCGGTGGGTCAAAAGGTGATGTCAATTTTCGGATCTTAAAAGTATCACACGTTTTCATTAAGGTAATAAATAGGGTACTTTTAATAATATTGAAGAAAGTATTATCTTAATAAATGTTTAATATAATTTTAGCATATTTAGTTTAATTTAAAATATCTTTCTTTATCATTTATTTTCTATGAAATTGAAATACTCTGAAAAAACAGAAAATTGATGAATATATAAAAACGTGCTCTGTCAAAAAATTCTATTTTAAATTCTCTCGAAAAAAGCAAGACAATATCAAACCGCATCGTGAATTCAGTGAACTTTATTTCGTGTTTTTACTGGTGCCTCAGGGGAAAAAAAGCACCGTTATCTGGACTTCGTGATTTAAAGCGTGCAAATATGTTGCATCACGATCGCGTCGATGCTTCCGCCCGAACGAAATTTTTCTCTCGCGCAATATAAATCCGCACCGGAGAGAGAAGCAAGTGCAAAGCGGATATGCCGCTGCCATCCTCGAATGCTATAGAAATAAGAATGGATCGCATTTTGATCCATACGTGCGCGGAAAAACACAATTATACATTGGTTTTCTCCGGAAGAGTATCACGAAAGTAATAATAAATAATAAAAACCTATAAAAAAACTATAAATAAAAAATATACTATAAATAAAACTATAAATATACTATAAAATATAAAATATACTATTACTACATATACTAAAAAATAAATATACTATAAATATACTAAAATATACTATAAATAAAACTATAAATATACTATAAAATATACTAAAATATACTATAAAAAAATATACTATAAATAAACTGTAAATAAAAATTATAAATAAAACTATAAGTAAAAAATAATTGTTTTCGGGATATTTGGGGTATCAATAATGAAGTTAAAAGAGTTTACCGGCGCTGTAAATAAATAATGGAATTTTGTTTCTTTTAATTCTAAAAGAAATATCATTGTATCTTATAATACAAACTTGTCGGGATATATTTATTATCTACAATTAAAACACTGCGAGGAAGCATCATTCTCAATTGAATTCTTTCTAAGGGAAGATCGCAAGCGAAGAGCGCTCTTGAAATCTGTTAGCCAAGAATACGCTTACGATTTCTATATGGTATTCCATAGACGACGAGATTCAGACAAAAAGACGAGGAATAAAACGGAGAATCGCGAGAGGGCGATGATAGAGACGAATGGAGGAAAAGGATGTGGAAGGAGTAACGAGAAAGCGCGGGAAAAAAGCGCCAGGATTATTCCACGGAGGAGATGCGAGAGAGAGAGAGAGAGAAAGGGAAAGAGAGGAAATAGGGAAGATAGTGGGAGGACAAGTGTACATCGTAAATTCCCTTTGTCCGACCTCCTCGAGCGGACGACAACCCGTGGCGGGCCGTGGTTGCTTCTTCCCGAGCAGCAGCACGATGTTCGCCGAGGCGGAAGCGGTGCTGAATGCCAAGACTAAGACAAATTTGTTTATTTACGACGGGTAACAATGAGAGCCGTCGAGTCCTGCGGGAATTTGACGCGAAAAGAGAGAGAGAGAGGAAAGCATCAGACACGGAACAATCGTCGGTGTTTCATCCGTTATCTAACAATCTTGCGGGCGTCTTCGCGTCCCCGTTAAAATTATTCTTGGAATAATTGGTGAAGAGGCCATTAATATTCTCTTTCAATGAATTCGAGCGAAATAATGCACTTCTTCAAATCTATATCTTATTGTTAGGAGACTGATTCAGATTGATTCAAGTTGATTCAAGTTGACTCCGAGACTGAATCGGGCTGAATCGCATTGTCTAGAAATACAGCGTGTAATGCATGTTGAGGTATTATTCGAATACTATGTTACGTCAAAAGGAGATTCGGGTCGTTTCTGGCCGGGTGCACACAGCACAGAGTTCGTTCGACGGTACTCAGATACCTGGTATTTCGTTTGCTTATTCAGAAGGAGCAGCTGCATCATAACGTCACTGCCGGTGTGGTGCTCTCGGACCACTCGCTGGTGCTGCAGAGTATAACTCGAGAGTCCGCCGGAGGGTACACCTGCGTGGCCGGGAACGTCGAGGGCCGCACCAAATCCAACACAGTCAATCTCGAGGTTATGTGTAAGTATGTGTTTTACGCTCTCTTGTGCTCGCAAGGCAGACTGCGCTCATGAAAGCGCCGCTTTAATAGCCTCGGTGGCATGGCACTTCCCCTCACGATGAAATTCCGCGGCGACGAATGTCGCTGGGAACGCGGTTTTGAACCACTAGTTTCTCGTCGAGCTAGTGCTCGACAATCGGCGAAACTTCGTTAAAATCCAAAATAACGAAGATACCCAAAAGCTACATTTTCTTACAATTTTCTAAAAATATTAAGATATAAAAATGAAAATAAAGAATCGTCAAATTGATTTATTTCGTCTTTCTAAATTCATATTCAATTATAAATTCCAATGAAATGTTATTATAATTACCGCGACCGTTTTACTAGATAAAAATAATCTTTTCGAAATAAAATATAAAGTCTACTCTTCGAGAAAATATTGATCATAAAAATTCCAGGGATAAAATCTGTGGATAAAATATCACAAATCAGAGATACAGCACGATATACAGAATCTTATATTGAAAACTATTTTTCAGGGAAAAGTTGAATCGGAATTTTAGAAAGTATATTTTTGTTTTTCCAAAATTGAATCGAAATCGAGAAATTATCTTGATGCGAAAATCTGAATATATAAATTATATGATTTAGTAGTAAAAATTGCAAGAAACAGAAATTTAGCGATTTCCTCTTCAGTTCGTATTCGCAGCTGACCACGATCGATCCGCTGCTACTTCGCCAAACTCTCCAATATTTTATGGAATATCTGCGCGTCGCGTAAATCCTCGCACTCCGATTTTACGGTGTCGGAAAGTATAAATAAAACGGCCGGTTATACCACGGACGATTATCGATCTGCGTCCCCCAACCCTCTCCCCTTCGCAGGGGCCACTCTTCCGCTGTCTAATATATAACGCTTATGCAAAAGAATCTCGCTGCAAATCCGAATCTTTTGTCCGACGCGTGTTCCGCAGGCGGAATATTTTTCAAAAATTTAGCTTATCGGCTGGAAATACGGCGAATGTAGCTATCTAGCGGCGAATGTTACATCGTAACTTCTTATTGGCTTACCCGGTGTGCGTCAATTTGAGGAAGCTGAAGGAAAAAGCTCGGAAATTTGAAATACACCGTGCACCATTTGTCTTAGCGACTCGCTAAAGTATAGTTATGCCCGTTTTTGTTCTAAAACAGTAATAGATACGTATGTCGGTTCCGAGTAAACTCGGTTTTAGCAGTTACAGATTTCCTATCTAGTATAATTATTAATCGTGTCATCTATTAAATCGTGGATTAACTTGACGGTATTGCGATAACTTGGCGCACATTTCAAAGAACAATAATACTCTTGGCTTAAATTACTCCACATATGCTAAATTCAATTTATTATAACATATTCTTAAATTTATGATATGTATAATAAATATATAATATATTACAACATATTCTTAAATTTATGATATGAATATTTTTAAATATAAATCTATATTTTATTTTCTGGATAAAATATTCATTAAAATACACTGAAAAATTCTTCTATTTCTCATTTAAAAAATATGCGTTCATTATTAAAAATCAATAAGAGTTTTTTTAAGATAAGAATTTTTAAATTACCTTATTTATATTGTTTTTTAAAAATATTAAAATTCATATTTAATTTCTTAAAATTGAAAACAGAAATTATATAAAAAACTTTGATACAAGAGAACTTATTTTATACTTTTGTGAAATTGTATATGTATTTACTACATATTATTTTATACTTTTGCGGTGTTGTATATGTTCATCTCTTTTGAAATACAATGATGGTCCATTCTTGATTATATTTTCTTTTAAAAGCTAATATATATGGACAATCTTATTTTATATTACGTTTTACACTTTTCCCTTAGTTTATGATTTATCTCAATTGTATTGTTCTCATGGGTTCCTGCCTAGAATACATAGTGAAGTGCCAAAATCCATACGTTTTGCCGCAGTCGCGCCCGTTTGCAAGCACGTGCTGAACTCAGGAGGCTGGAACGCTACCCCGCCACCGTTCAACATGCCCGAGGAGGTCCACGGTGCTCTGAAGCACGAGACCATAAGTTTAGTTTGCGAGGTCGAGGCCAATCCCACCAATGTGACCTTCCATTGGACCTTCAATAATAGCGGCGACCTCAGCGAGATTCCGTCCACCAAGTACACCAACGAGGGCACAACCAGCAGGCTTAATTACACCCCGTCAACCGATATGGATTACGGAGTCCTAGGCTGCTGGGCCAGCAACGCTGTAGGTCATTCCAAGCAACCCTGCCTCTATCAAGTCATTGCCGCAGGTTTGTGCAAGTTTAGAGCCCTATCATTGTACTGTACTTTTCTTATCGTCGTAACCTTTAATCCGCATGTGAGGTGCACAATCCTGAATAAGGTAGAATAGAATATCTGTAGATATCTATGGGTTGTGTGTGCAAAGGTACTCATTTATTATTAAAAATCAATAAGAATTTTTTACAATAAAAATCAATAAGAATTTTAAAATTTCCTCATTTATATTATTTTTTATAATTATTAAAATTCATATTTAATTTCTTAAAATTGGAAACAGGAATTATATAAAACTTTGATACAAAAGATTATTTATATCTTTGTGTTATTTATATTTATTATTTTATACTTTTGTGAAGAGTTGTATACATATATATTTATTATATATTATTTTATATTTTTACGAAACTTAGTTTGAAAAAAATTACAAGTATTACATGATATATTTTTTTTTTAAGTTTCAATATTAATTTGAGTATAGAGAGAATAATATTTATTGCACACAGTTCAGTATTTTTCTATTTATTTTCACTTTGTACTAACAATAAGCTTAATATTTATGTCAAATCTGATTTGTTTTGTTTTATATTTGCTTATATAACTCAAAATGCTATTAAATGGAAAAATTCATGCAAAACAACGAAACAGATTTGCAAAATAGAAAAATATATGCGTAAAAGAACAACAAAGCAGATTTACAAAATCCATAAACTATCAGTTGTCAGCACACAACAAATATTTAGTGTAGTTGTATTTTTTACTGAAAAATCATTTGGAATATTTCCTGACAACAATTGTTCCACAGCGTAAAAATATCATCTTCTTAATAGACATATTTTTTATCAAAAATAAAAATATAAGATTCGCGTCTTTGGGACTGTAATATCTTTTCTTGTTGATTAAAGTTCGTGACCCGTTCTCCGTCACATTTTTATTTAAATTGAGAAATAAATAACGCGACAGACCATTTGGTATGTGTACAAACTTTTTATATTGTTTTGTCGTTGGTTTGAAAATATTTTTCTTGCAGTGAATAATAATTTTTAAATGCTATCCGCGTTCGCAAACGTTGAATAATACAGATGGTTTATTTTTCATATTTCTGTATATACATTTGTTAGTCGCGAAAGAGCTGTTTAAAGTTAAAACAGCAGCTTAATATATTCAACTATTTGGAAAACGACGAATGTACCACGATCACAAAGTGCGCGACAACATTATCTATTCTATGTGTCCCAACTGATTGCTCTTCATTATCAATTGTTATTCTGTATATTCATTGTACGCGCGTTATTATATTGTGTACAAACATTAATTCATAATTACTGGAAATATAACTATTATTGTACTAGAATAATTTAGCAGTTTACAGCGCATAATTAAAGCCATCTCTTAATTAATTTTATAATCAAATAATATAATATACTCGTACAACCACATTATAATCTGACCACGTTAACCTATGTGATAACATCTCGCAAAGGGATAATATTTGCAAACCAATCTTCCCAGCTTTTCGAAATTCAATATTGTCAATTGCATATTTCAAATATACGGCTTATTCAACGATAATAAAATGCAAATTCGTTGCTAATTAATCAGCAAACTCGTAATCAGCATCTCCTTAGAAGATAACAACTGGCATATTTTTTTATCTCATATTATTATTAAAACTTCTTATTTTTATATTTATAAGAACGGATTAATATATAAGTCGAATGAATGAAAAATTCTAATGCCAAACATATATATGCGCTTTCTCACTCGCGTCACGATCTGCGGAAATTTGACGGGAAAAGTCGCGAGGATTAAGGGGAGGGGGGGGAGGGAAAGAGAGGAGGAAGGAAAAAAGGGAGAAGGGAGGGGGAGAAAAGGAGAAACGCCGGACGTTGCGCAACGAGAGACGCCACGTTGAAATTCGCCCGCGTTGGCCGCGCGCTTTTTTTTGCGGGAATTTAATGAAAACCGTAATTGAATATGTTCATTACGAGGTATAACGCCTGTCGTGCCGCCGCCGCTGTCGCCGTCGTGCTGGTTCCTGAATCCCCGTGTCGGGCCGGAAAAGTCTTGTCCATTTCCGCAGTCGTGGTACCCCCGGTGTTTTCGACGGGCTGCCGGATATCGCAGCCTCGTCGAACGGCCAAGCAAATCGATTTTGGTTCGCCGGAAGCTCCCGCGGACTATACTTTTCCCGCGTCGGCTACTGCGACCCGCCCGCTCGCGGTAATTGGACATATAATTTATATTTCGTACATCAGCGTCCAATGTATTCCTTTATATAATTACCGAATACGCAGTTTTTCCGCGTGCATCTCGCGTCGGCAACGCTCGATAATCGCCCATCGGTATTGATCGATAGCCTCGTAGCTGTGTAAATTCAAAAATATAGATCTTATGTAATAAAAACGTTTGCATAAAAAAAGAAATAAATGTCTATCGAACGATGCATAGATGTTGTTCACACATGAAAAATTGATCGGAACTTTTTCACTGCAATTTAAACGATCTACCGATGCGAGAAAGTAATGAAAATGATAAAATTTTCGTTATTTGCAGATTCCTTTTTTTTTACGCTGTTTTAAAGCCGTAAAATTTTTATTGACACCCTTTTTATTTGCTTTAGTTTGCACGTAATATACACGGCATTGAATAGATCCAATTTTAGAGAGTGATTGCGAGTTTCAAATGCAAAAACAAAAAAAAACCACAACTATCGATATTATTTTATTCTATAAACCTTTTATCAAGGCCGACGTGATTCGCGAATATTTCTTATCGAATGCAAACAACGATGTGATTTTTACTGACGCGAGAATATTCGGTGATTTAATTGATGATGCGAGGTGATATATGCAAATGCCCGTTGTTCCTCGTTGATGCACGTTCTCTGGTAAGATCCTGAGGAGATCGTAAACAGGAGCACACGTTGCCAAATTCCGCGATTTAATCTCCGCGGTTTTGGAAAGACGAAGTGATAAAATTCCCGATTCGTCGCGAGTGTTTTCGGTTCTCTACTTCTACAGTAGTTGCAAATTTATTGTAAATGTATGACGTTCCAGAACTGTCGCATGCATTTTGTCTTTTATTCTTAAATAAGAAAAATAGACTTTATAAACCAAAGAATTTTATGAATCGAAAAATTCATAGAAAATAACAGTGTTATTTTGGGACATATTTATTTGTCTTCAATATAAATTGCAGATAATTTTTAATGAACAGAATATATAAATATCACGATTGTGAAATTGCGTTAGACTGCTAAAACTTTAATATTTTTCTCGGTAACATCTTTTAGTAATGTCGTGTGCAAGTGTTCTTAATTGAGCTATATTAATTGTAGATTTTCTTTCCATTCTTTTTTTTATAAGATATATTAAAAAATCAACTCACGCTGAATAATATAAATATATATTAATACACAAATATATGCAAAATATATATATATATATAATTCAGTAATTATAATTTCAAAGAAATTTTGCTTAAATAAGAATTTAATTTAATATATAATTATAGGGAATTCATACTAAAAATTAAATAGAGAAACAAATAATGTACATTGTATGAAATTTCCTTTAGAAATTTATTGGCTAATATAAATTTGTCAAGAAACGCCATCGAAGACATTATAAATAAAAATAATATAAAATTAAAATAATAAAAAATATATAAATTATATAAATTTTCTCTAAGTGCGATGTAATTTTGTATTCAGAAGAAACACGAGATAATTATGAATTTCTGCATTTTTCTCTTTGAGAACGAAATGGCGGTCTCGAGTTACACGCGCGATGTGAGCATGGATAATAAAGCAGATGACGAAAAATAAGCGTTTTAAACCGGTGCTTTAATCCGTAGCCACCGTCTGTGAGCAACGATGGTGCTATTAGCCTTCCCCTCTTCCTCTGGGCTATTTTCTTCCGTTTTGCACTTTCCAGGAGATTAGCGATGGCAAAAGCAATTGCGCGATACGCGGCGAAAATAAATGCAGTGGAACCGTGTAATAATGGCAGAACATGCGTCGGCAAGGCACACCGCAATGATCTTTCGTGTTTTTCTTCTTGTTGCAACAAGAGAGAATCGGCCGCGATGCTTTTGGAGAATTCGCGAGAGAAAAATCCGCAATTTCATCGCTATCTCTTCTCTCATTCTTAACAAAAAAGTCCTTCGTCGCGTTGTGGTTCAAAATAATTCATCGTGTGTTACTTATATTTCTTACATTATATGATATTACAAATGTTATTAACATATATAGGAAGTAAAATTGAGAAAATATAATCGGATTGGACTGAATGTGCTGGTTCTCTATCTTTAAAAAGGATCACACGAAGAATAGAACAGTCTGATTCATCATCATTACGTGTCTACGAGAAAGGTAATTTTGCCACAAGGCAGTCTCATTGTTAATTTATGGATTCTTATAGTGAAAGAAACTATGTGTAATGAGGCTGACAGTGGAATCTTTTTTGGTCCCATTTGTGTACAATATGGATTTTTGGCTAATGCACCACTGGTGTAGCTGATAATAATGGTTTCGCATATAATATAATCTTATTGCCTTAAAAACGCGACGTAATTTTCGCCGGGTAATAAAGCGAAATTGTGGAACGGGCGCATTGTGGCAATCTCACTTTTTTCATATCGCCAAAATTTAAATTTTGCCAATCTTATAGCGGCTTAAATTTTTCTCGTAAAAAAAAATAAAGATAAGGAAACAAATGTATAATATGTTAAAACGAGTTTCTTAAAATAAACGGAAATATATAATAAAAAATGTTAAATTAAATGTGAAAAAGACTAATAATTGACGAGAAATAAGCGACTGCGTGGAATAAACAAAAGAATATTAATTTTATTAATTACATTTTACTAATAACAAATATAACGTGCAAATCTATGAGCATATTAAATGTTTATATAATGAAAAAATATTTTAAAATATTTTTTACTAAAATGCTGCTGTTTGTTGTTTTAGCAAATATTAAATAAATGTTGCTATTTATCTTTATAAATATAAAAAATAATATTGGCAACATATTTGTCTGAGAATTGATCTTGCTGTGATTTATTTACGAATTTGATGTTTTGCAGTTGAAAAAATAGAAACGTAATCGCAAGAATATTTTTTTATCTGCAAAATACAAGTCCTCACATTTTATGACGAAAAATGACTTTTTGTTCATATTTTTATATTCACTGTTTTTCAGAATTTAAAAAATGTTTAATTTGAAAGATGTTGTGTAAATAACTGTTACTGTTAATTATAACTCATCTAATTTTACTAATTCATATATATATATATATATATATATATATATATATATATATATATACAATTACTAAATAATAAATTAATTAATTTTCCAACTTTTCTTTTAAGTCCACATTTATCATTGAAACAATTACTTTTTCTTTTCTCTTTTCGCGTATTCTTACATAAAACATCCAAGAGAGCTCCGAGAGAAGAGGATTTCTCGTAGAAGACAAAACTAAAAGACAAAACGAGAAGAAAATAAACTTATTTGAAAAATGAACTGTGCTTTCTTTTTGAGAATCTCGTTTCACCCTAGTCGAATACTGCATTCTCTCACTTACTCTCTCTCTTTCTTTCTCTCTCTTGGCTCTCACGATCTCCAAAGCTGCATCTTCTTCGCAGGCAGACCTTACCGGTTGGAGAACTGTACTACCTATAACCTGAACGGTTCCTGGGTGAGGATATCTTGCGTCGCGGGATACGACGGCGGTCTGCCTCAGAAATTCGTCGCCATCGTAGGCAAACGACGTCTAGAGTCTCCGAGCCCTTACTGGGAATTCCAGATGCTCAAGCCGGCAAAGGTGGCCCTTTACGCGGTAAACGCGAAAGGTTCCAGCGAGCCACACGTCATAGAAGTGGTCTTGAAAGGAGTAGCCAAGTTTACCGGTAAGTTTCTGCCAAGTTCAATCACGACTATCGTCAAGCGATGGCGAGCAAAAAAATAATTTGCTCGTGCCGTAATAAGCTATGACCCAGCGATTTTATGCGAAGTGTTTGATAATTGATAATGCTATCCGCGAAAATTGATTAATTATTTATCGAAGAATAACTTTGACTTTAATACCAAATTTCAATTTCATACTGTTTTGATTAATTATTTATCTCTTTTTAAAATTAAAATTACAAAAATACGGAAAGATATTAGATCAAGTTACAATTAAAATTTGACCTTTAGTTGAAATAATAACTTTCAATAATTTACCATTTTATAGTATCTTTTTCGATTATACTGATCATCAAGCATTCGATATATTTTAGAGAATGAGAGGATATAAAAATAACAATGGATTATTATTTTACATATATTTTACATATTATATAAAATATAGTGTATTTTATACGTTTTATATAATCGCTTTCCGCTTGGAGGAAAAAATGAGAAGATGATGCAAGCATATTAATATTATATCTATATTATTGACGTATAAAAATGGATATTTCATTAAAAATATTTATTCTTAAATTATAATTATAATTTCTTTGACGCATGCTGCGGCAAAAAGCAACAAAATAAAAAGTAAATTCTTTTCTATATGCATAGTTTTTTACATAATTCATATAGTTTACATGGTAAAAAGCTCATAAATTATGCATAAAAATCTATGTAGAACAAGTCTACGGAAATTTCAGAGAAACCCTTTTCTTAATTCTTTCATTTATGATGCAAATAATCATGAGCACGTGGAATCGATATCCATGTATCCGCCTCATGTAGACTCAAAATCTTTTTCCCTGTTTCATCATGCGACTTTTATTCCGTTTTCAGCTTCCGGCGAACTGACATTCACGTCAAATCGCAACTTATCGATCGGCCAGCTGGCCGTTCACCTGATATTCGGACTTTTCGATAGCAAAAATACGACGTGTGGTAAAAATAGCATATTGCGCGAGACAATCTGCACTCTACCGATTTTTGTATTAAACTTCCGTATTTAAAAAAAAAAGTGTTCGATAAAAAGTGCTGCACTGTGAGAGAAATTACAGTGATGAAGAATTTCGCTTTGTTTGACCACAAAAGATTGCAAACGAACATGTTCTAATAAAAATAGTGCGCTCGAATTCCAGATGTGTACAATTTATATATTTTCCTTTTTATTTTCTTTTCTACCAAAATAGAGATACAAAAAATATGCGAGTGTTACAGAAGAGAAATGGTTAGCATGAAATCTATCATGCATTCCAGAGAATCTATCACACATTCATATGTTAAATACATATACAATAATATAAATGCATGTGTATTATGTGCAAACAATTAAAATAAATTTCAAAAAATTATGTAAGTTAAAAAAATCTTTTCGCTAAAATTATACGTGTAATATTATAATAAAAATAGAACCGAGATCGCGCATTACAAAATTTCTGCAAAAAAATGCGTATATTACGAGAAATGTATTATTCACAAAAAATAAAGTGCCGGCTAAAGCGCCGATAATTTACGGATTCGCGTTCTTCTTGCTCCTGTTTGCATATTTGAGGAGCGAGCGTTTTAAGTTTTACCCTTCAATTTGAATGGTTGTGATGCCATCTCAACCGGAAATGCTAGCGGCGACATGCAAATGATCTCTGTTGAACAGTTCGGCGCGCGCGCCGAGGTCAGCCCTTGGTCGAGCTCGTTGCCGGTTTCGCTGAAACATGCGCGATCGACCCTCGCGGAAAATTTATGAGCGTCAAAATTTATGAGCCATTATTATGCATTCTGCTTTCCGCCGCGTTCGCTTTCCCTCCAATTTCTCGACACCCGTTAGAGGCATGATTTTCTAATTGAAAGTGATCATCGTTTTCGTTAATTCGCGGATGAGAAACGCAATGATAAGATAAGGATAAGCCTGCAAATGTAGCATCTAATTGTGTATAATTCATTTTACATATCAAAAAAAATTGCATTGATCGCAGCGTATTTTCAATAGTAGACATCGCAACGATCTCGATTAAAATTCGAAAAAATTAAAATTGCTTTAATATAAATTCTATTTTTAATTAATTGAGAAATTAATTGATTAATTAGACTAAATGAAAAATTATTTGATAAATGAGATTTTACAATTTAAACAAAAATTATCAAAAAATATAACGTCGCCAATTAAAAAATTTGTGGGAACATTAAAAAAAAAAATTCTGCAAAAAAACTTATATTTCAAGCTTTTTCTATTTAAGCTATTCTATTATATTTTAGCTTTTTTCATGATATGGAAAATGGAAAAAACGGCGTCGTATTTAAGCTCTAATTCTCCATTGTTCCGTAATTTATCAAAAAAAATCATCGATTGCCAGCAGCAGATATCTCTCATGAAAGCAGGATACAGGTCGCTTATCACAATCCCGTTTTAACGTAAAACGACGCGAAGGGATGCGGTCTTTTGTTACTATTAAGAGAAAGAAAAAGCGTGTTCTCTCTTCGGTCCCTGATAGGTTGCCCTCCTTTAATGTGTTTCCTCGATGCTTCGCATTCAATTATGGCTCGCAACCAATAGCAGAGAATAGACGCACTTTGTGCTTTGTTAATTAGCATTTAACTGAAACTTGATTGTTAATTGGAAACAAATTAGCTAGCCGGTTGTTTGCCCCGTACCGATGCGACGCGCAACTTCAATGGATACCTGTTTACAAGGCGATCGAATTACAACCCTCGCTACGATACTCGCAATTTATATCAAGTGCTCTGGAAATTGTACTTTGATTAATTTAATCGACTTTTCCTTAACGAAAACCTCGAGATAATTTTCTAATAATTTTAATTTCAATTAAAGAAAGAGGGTTTTGAATTAAAAAAAATTGCTGATTGAGATAATAATATTCTTCTCTAATTTCAGAAATTTGAGAATTTGAGATTTAATCATCGACATGTAATTTTCAAGGATCATACATAAAATAAGCTTCTTTGATTAAAAATTTGGAATAGCCGATATACCCTATATAATCTTTTCGACTGCGTGTCATATCTAGAATCTGCGTTAATTTCAAGCGGACTTTATATAACAGAGTATTTTTCGGTCTCTGTCGCGTAAAAAATTTATAAGACTCGACGAAAATATCTATTTATTTCCACAAATACAGGAAGCACGTTCGATGTTTATTATTTCAAAAAATGTCTTCACGTCAGCATCTTTTTAAAGGAAAGTTACAGAAATAATTACTGCAGGCGAGATTTTTGCCGAGTGAATCAGCTTTAACCCGGGGGTGCTTTAGTCGAAGAAGAGCAGTAATTTCAGGACGCCCGGTGTACACGTATACGCAGACCCGTTCCGCGGTTTAAAGCCGAATGATTAACGACGGCGCGGAAACGACGCGGGCGTCGGGCGCGTCGTTCCCACAGAACCGGAGCTATTCCTAATCCGCTGCACAGCTCCCCCTCCAGCTTCCCCTCGCTTCCTCCCTCCCCCCTCTCTCCCTCTCTCTCTCTATCTCTCTTTTTCTCCCTACCTCTCCTGCCTGTTCTTGCACCTCGCAAAGCAAGCGACTCACAAATCAGCCGCAGCGTTAGGACACCGTAATGCAACCTGCTACGAAGTTCGGAACGATCGACTCTAACGCCGTGCCTTAATTGGAAACAGATTACGGCTCGTGCCGACGAAGGTCCGCACGAGCCTCCGCCAAGAACGAGAAATGTCGGGCGGATAAATTGGAACGCTCAGTCGCGTCTGATCCGCGGCTGACCGCAACTACTGCGCGAAATCTTAAGCAGGCGTATGTACGCGATTTGTCGACAGGAAGGAACGCAATAGCAACAGATGTTAAATGGATAGATTGATTGATCGATTGAGAGAAGCTGAAAGAGGAATTTAATTATTTAGAATCGAAGAGGAAATGTAGCTTTGACAAAAGCGCGCACGTCAAAACATAAAAATTTCCAACATATATAAATGTTCGTTGGAAATAATGTAATTGACCAAAACTAGCCAAAAAATTGTTTGTTTATTTGTTATGATGTTTCGACCATATGGTTGTGGTCCTTTTCAAGTATATACTGGAATATGAGATTAACAATTAGATTTTTAACGGTTTGAATAAACAGTACCACACAAATTAAATGTGAACAATTTGAATACATATAGATCAAATAATAGATATAAATCATAGTGTAGTAAACTCCGCAAGTCACATTAATAATGTGACACATTTAATTTGTGTGGTACTGTTTATTCAAACCGTTAAAAATCTAATTGTTAATCTCATTCCAGTATATACTTGAAAAGGACCATAATCATATGATCGAAACATCGTAACAAATAAACAAAAAATTTTTTGGCTAGTTTTGATCGATTACATTATTTCCAACGAATCTTTGATTAATTGACTAGCGATATTAAGATAATTTATAAATATATAAATGTAATATATACTACCTAAAATATATAACTATTTACTGCAAATTCATATTTTTTCTAAAAAATGATTACGTATTTTCTTTACATCCCCCAGTTAATTCCTCTCATTATTCTATGCATAAAAGTATTAAGGTAAAATAAACAAAAAATAAATATTTTACGAGATATTTTATGTAAATTTATGTAAAATTTATATCAAAAAACTTAAAGTAAAATATCTCAAACTTAAAATATCTCAAACTATTCAATTTTTGGCTATCTTATTCTTGTAACTTTTTGCGTTGAATATTGTAAGGAATCAATTTATGTGAACAAATTGGGGTAATTCTATTAAAAAAAACTAGATTGACCTTCACATAGTCTTAGCCTATATCTGAGATCAAATTAGTATTCCTATCTTTTTTCTCTCTCCAAACTCTATAAGTTTTGTCTGAAACATTTTCTACGAAAATATGTCATTTGAAAGATATTTGAAGTAGGAAATTAAAATGAGACATATTCTATATATTAATTAATTATTAAGACAAGAATTAATGTATAAAAGGAAATACTTATTTCCTCCAATAGTTAATATTATGACAGCCACAATAATTTATCAGTGACACGATTGGTAAGACAATAGTAATTCTAGCAATAATATATAACGATAACGATAAGAAATATTAGTTTCTTTTTATATAATATTCTACGGATTTATAAACTGTATCAAGATTGACACAACTCTATTACATAAGAGTTGCCGGAAGGAGACTGCCACCACGTAGGATACATTATTTATAGACTGGCTACTAAAGTAGAGATTTCGTTTCCAGGCGAATCGACGTCCTCGGTCGATATGTCACCCATCCTGCTTGGACTTGGTGGCACAGCGACCGGTTTGGGGTTAATCGTGACCGGTGTGCTAATGGCACTTTGGAGGAGGCACGCGGCCACCCCGGCGAAGCCGAAACCGCCGCAGCAGCCTAGCATCGCGACTTTCGCGGAAAAGGGCGAGGAGGAAGACGGAAATCCAGATCTCATACCTACGACGGCCTTGACCAATCATCTCACCGGTAAGTTTCCTTGATTAATTTTCATTCATTGACTGAAAAAAAATTCTGTAAAAAATACAGATATATAGGGTAAAGGAACTTGACATATGAAAATTTGATTCGTAAATTTAGAGAAGAAATTTAAGAATCTCTGTATTTAAGAGTATCTTTAATCCTAGTTTTAAGAATATCTGCGTTTTTTTTATTTATTTCTAATTTTGCATTAACTTAAAGAGTTACATTTAAATCGATAAAAATATTATAACGGATATAAAAAGATAAATTTTATAGAATTCTTAAGATTTATAATTTTATGGAATAAAATCCTATCGCGATCTCTTTTAATTCGTTTACTTTTTACAGTAGAACGCTTTTGAAGCATTGCGAGAAAATCCACTGTATCAAATTACAAAATGTTGAGATGGGGGATTTACTATTTAAATCTTACAAGCGCCCCTTTAAGAAAGGACCGATGGCATATCGTTCGGGCATAACCGGCCATCTCATTCGGTGAATTTCTACTTAGACTGATGAAACTGCCGCATTTATACGAGGATTTCAAGAATATCGGGTTTTGCCTTAGACAGGATAGCATGCATTAATGGTACTCTCAAGAAAATTGCGCACATGGTATACGGACAGCTCTGGGGTATCGGCATATGCATACACGCAGCGCAAGGGAATACATGCATATGCATATATGTATACACGCAGAAATATGTACGCGTTCTGTAATCCATACGAGAGAGGATAGTATCTACAAGGGAGATTCCAAAAGAGGCAATAGTATTTTACGAAGCGATTTTAGGTCACAATCTCACTTCTTGAGATTGAAAATGTAATGCATCTATTATAATTTAATTCATACTTAACAATAATAAATATATTTATAGATATATTTATTTATATATTAAATATATCTAAGATATAAAAAATAACTACATTGAATCTATAAAATAGATATGTATTTTAAATAAATTTACTTTGTTAAAATTAAACTTTAATAATGACATTTAATATTTTTCACAAAATTTTGCAGCAGTTGAATCAAATTTAATAATAATATTAATAATTTAATAATAATATTATAGTAACATGCTTCGAAACGTTCGCTCCAGTCAGGTAGCAAATACAGATTATTTGAAAGATAATAAGGACATGCTTCACTATTTTTTTTTTATTGTTATCGATGAACTTTCGAATGCGGTTTCTCGGTTTACCCGCAATGTCCAAAATAGGAGTATTCTCCCCGATGCTGCAGGGCATCTTCAATTTCCCTTCGCAAACCGCGAAACTTTCGGCTTTTGCAAACAAAACAGTAAGAAGCAATCGAGAGAGCCGCCTTGCAAGAAGGAAGCGAGCTAAAGTTGCTAAAGTTGCTACTGAGAGAGAAGTTCAAAATACTTTGCGAAATCCGCGGGCTTACTTCAAACCGATTATACGATTGACGCTAAATCCGTCCTGGGACTTCTTCCAGACAGAAAGCTTCCTCGTTACGGGTCTCTGCCACGAAGACCACGTCAACTGGAAGGACGTGAGATGTCCCATGATGTCCTAGAAGATTCAGATTATCCGAGAGCATCACCGAATGTGAGTAATCTGAGGCATTAATTTCCAAAATTTTAAACGCCAGCACGGTTTTTTAGAGAAAAAATTCAAGTGTTTTAAATATTAAGAAAATATTTCTTTAAAGGAAACATTAATAATGAATTTCTAAAATAAGAATTGATAGTAAAAGTTAAAAGTAATGTAGGATTATTTGGAATTTTATATTATTTATGATTTAAATTTTCCAATATTCGCTTCCAATCATTTGATCAAGGAAGATTGTTTTGAAAAGATCTAATTGATTTTGAAAAATATGTAAAAAGCATAGTTTTTATATTAGACTAATTAAAAAATTTTATACTTTTATAAATATAAGTTCTAAATGTCTATCGATATTTTTTTTAATTAAAGAAGGACGTAAGAATTTTAAACATATTTTTAAAAAGCGTGAAATTGCAAAATTTTAAATACCTTTGATTTAAAATTTAGAGTGAACACATATACCTGCATATGTCCCTCAATAATCCCGAACACAGAAAACCACTTTCGAATTTGATCCGATCTGCTTTACGATTCCGTTTATCGCCGTCTTCTTACGAGTCAGATTTAGCGAGAAAACGTTTTCGTTGCGTCTGACACATTTATTTTGAATAAAGAAAGAGAGTATAATTGTGTCGAGATAGAATATTGTGGTTTGTTGTTAAACATTTCAGCTCTTATTTTAAAAATACACTGAAATATTTAAAATCGTAAAACAGACATTTCTTTTCCCTATCTTTTCTATAGAAACACTTTACTCGGTATATAATTATATAAATTTTATATTTTATGAAATGTAAATTTTTCTTGCAGAAATTTTACGTAATTTATTTTTAGAGAATCTAATTTGCATGCATAAATAATATTACAGTAAGTTTATTTATTCGGGAATACTTTTCAATTTCGATTTTCGCCATCGTATCGAAAATTCATAGGATCCGTCGCCGGCGATACATATGTATATATTTTTCTATAATATTATAAAAATACTATAAAATTCGCTATAAAAATTCGATGCTAGTCCAAGTAAATAAGAAGAATTTTCTGCGGATAGACCGAATTCAATTCCCGATCGTTGCCTCTACATTTTTCTAAGTGATATCGTATATCTCCATCGAGACAGATCTTTTAACCTTAACCGTAGACAAATATCTTTCAAATTTTTCTCGGCAACAGTATATCGAATAATAGCAATGATATTATGTTGTACAAATATTTCTTTACATGTCTTTCCCTTATCATAGTTAATATAAATATAAAAATAAAATGTTTAAAAATTTTTAATAATTTTGTTGATGTTTTTGACAAAATTTTCTCTGTTATATTGCATAAAATGCAAATCTTAAGCCGTGTTAAAATATTTCTCACACCATCTCAGTTTGAATTTTATCTTTTATAATCTCTTCTATCTTTTATTTTCTCTTTCACTCTATTTTTTGCTTTTCAATCTACTTCAGACATTCTACAGTCTCCAAAGGCCGCACTCGGAGTCGATCAGCAGGAGTATTCAGGAGAGCTGCATTTAAGGGTCAAACACCGGGTGAGACATTAAGAGAAGTGGGCGGTCGACGTGGCGTTCTAGACGGATGGAAGGAAGATCCAGACGTCTGCTGCATCGCCTAACTTCCGGGTCGTCGACTATCATTCAACAGGGTATAGGAGGCCCCTGGACCATGGCTGATGGAGACTGTAGACTGGGAGATGGAGGAGATGAAGCCACACGCTTCTGCGCGCGTTTAAGCGTACCAAAGACATTTATATAGCCACTTGATTCACACTACGCCTTTGTAAATATTGTATATAAATAAAACACATCAATTTCGTGTTATACCCTTTCTATGTTGGGTCTCATTCTCGCCCGCGACGATGCATCACCATTTTTGTTATCCTTGTCAGGTGTGTGATTTTTTCGCGGGAATGTATTATCGATGTCTCCAAAGTAATCGGATAAGGTGCGAATTAAACAAAAGATTTTTTTTACCTTAATTGTAAGAGTTACTACATAAGTGTATTTGATTAAAACTCGTATAAAAAGATCTTGAAATATATATATGCATATTTATACATAGTCGAATTTATATGTGAAAATTCTAAAAATATCGATAATTTATTTTTATTTCGCATGTATATTTTTTTTCTTATGAATGCAAGATGATTTTAGATTTTTAGATCTGAAAATCTTGCAATTCAACTTCTCCAAATTTTGTGGAAAACGATAGATTAAAGTTTTTTTGCAGGAAAATCTGACAACGAATTTCTCAACGAGATACAATATTAGTCTCGTAAATTGTAAAGTGAGATCGCGTGGAAAATCTGGCGTTTATTTTACACAGACGCGCGAACTTATCTACTTATTCAAAGGTTCTCCTCTCTTTTACCACTTTTATGGAGCAGTACACGTTTTCTTCCTGCGGGCGGCGACAGTGCGGCGTGTACGCGTTATCCTGCAAAGAAAAGCGCAACGAGAGCGGCATCACGAAGTAAATCGCATAAAGCATAACTGCATCGCGGCGAGAAACTAGCAGCATCTTCCCGGTCTCTTTTCATGCCGCTCTTCCTGGCTGTGAAGCAAGAATCTCCTTGAACGCGTCTCTCTCTCCTGGGGGCTCTTCTACGATCCTTTTATTTTCTCTTGTTGAACTGTCTCGATGGTTCATTGCCGTTAAATACGCAGAATTATTGCTATAGTTCGGTATTATTCATGACATAGCGTTAGTTGGCACGGAACGTTATATCGAGAATTCTCTATTTTCTGAGATTGCACATATTTAAACTGTTTACTATTTTGGTAAGATTTTTCTTTTAAAAAAATATAAGATAAAATATTAATACTTTTGAATCACAGAAAAATAAATTTCACAAAGTCTTAAACGAAATAGGAATAAATATTCCTTTATTTATATATCTCCGTATTTTAACTTTAATTAATTTGTTAAATAATTTATAGATAAATTTATCTTAATTAAAATGTTTTAAATAATAGAATTTATACATATATATATATATATATATATATATATATATATATATATATATAATGTTGTCTGTTATCAGGAAAAATATTTATCTTTTACAACGAATGATGGTGAATTGTGATGTGTCGTGGAATTTGTTGAAATATAGCACTTTAAAGTGACTGAATTTCAGGCTGTATTTTAAATTGAGCACGCGTAATTGTCCATTGAAGATGCAAAGTGCACCGTCTGCCATTCGCATACACTACCCTTTTTCTCTTTACCTTGCTTCGATCTGCGCTTATGGATTCTTTACTTGTACCCGACGACAGCGGATAAAAGTGTATGATGGATAAAAGTAAAATAGTTTTGAATAATCAATTGCAAGTTAATAGATATATGGATTTATACATATATATATATATATATATATATATATATATATATATTTATATATATAAATACAACTCTTTGTTACTAAATTTTATTTATTTGTTGTAAAGATAGCATAACTGAATCTTTAATATCAGAGTGATACGAGAATTAAAAAATATGAAAAATTAAAAAAAGCAATTGCAATTTTTCTATTATAAAGATAATTATTTCGCATATTACAATTTCAAAACTTCATTTTCATCAATTTATATTGCGTTTCGAGAATGCAATCCTTTTCATTTATGACTAAAATATAAAATTTTACGACATTTGTGCTGTAGCTTCAAAAGAAATTTTTTTATGCTTCAAGCGAAAAATTTACGTTCGTTTGATAAACTCATTTCGTTCGAAAAATGAAAAGGATCAGAATCACTCTACAGCGAGGTGAACGTCCTGAACCGCACGTGAGGTGACGACCCTTCTGAAGGAGTTAAACGTATAAAGTCGCGCGAAGATCAAGACCAAACTCAAACAACGAATTTGGAAGGTTCTAGCGAGAGTTTAATCCTTCGAGCGATTACGGCTTAAAATACACTGTGACATTGGCTTGGCTATATCTGGCGCTTCTCTGGTTCTGCCGTTACATCTTAGAACTGAAACTTTTATGATTTCACGTTTGGCCGCGTCCGTTTAAGTTTGTGCGCACAAACTCTCTCAGCAACCGTCACGAGTGCTTGCTACGGTACATTTACATGCTCAAAACTCTACGTGCAATTTACATCTCGTCCCGAATCGTTTCCTCAGGAAGCGCACACTCCCTGAAGTTCATCTTGATGTTAAAAAGCTGATTTCCAGCCAAATATTCGTAGAAAAGTGATCAAATTTGTGATATTTCCGAAAAATCACAAATTAAACACTGTTCAAATTAAATTATATATTTTACTTGTACATGAAGTGTACTTACAATATTCCCAAGGACATTTCGAAATCTTTCATTTATGCAAAAAGTTCATAGTATTGTAATATTCGTAGTATTCTGAAGAGAACGTATCTTTATTCTTTTGTACGTACGAATGCACTGAACCTTCAAATGCCACGAGCATTTTTATGTCGAAGGAATACCTTGCAAAATCCAAGGCATGCGTATAAATCATCCTTACAATTTCAACCGCGAATAAAAACTTTGTTAAACGACGCGGACATAAATCATCGGCGAGAGGAAGCCGGCGAAGTTTCCTTCAAAACTGGCAAAAGATAATTTATACGCGGTGGTACGCGAGTTTTGCGCACCAGACGCTAATTGAAGGCGGCGTTTATCAATCTCTATTGCGAGGTGCAACGTAATCAGCGAACGAATGGTCCATCATTCCAGAGAAGATCCCTTGAAATCTCCGGAATCGATGCAGAGTTTACGATGTAATTTACTCTTACCTGATTTCGTCCGCGCAGAAATGTGGTTTTCCTAATTTTTCTTATCACAGAGATTACAGGATCAGGCAGTCGACGAGAATGTCGACGCGGAAAAATCCCAGGTGATAGTCGAATCCTCGGGAGAATGAGAGAAGCTTTTAGCAAGGAATCACACACTTGATACAGTCAAGCAGATCTTCACACCTGTAATTTATTACAATCAATATTAAAATAATATTTAATTAAATAATATATAACAATAAAGCATAGTATAATATAAATAAAGAAATATAAAAATAAATACATAAATATATAAATAAATACAAAATACAAAATAATAAAAAAAACATTAATATAAAATTATACTTAATTTAAAAGATATAAATATATAATATAATGAAATACAATATAATAAAAATACATAATATATATATAATAAAAGTACAATATAAAATAAATATAAAATAAATATAATATAAATTTAAAATATAATATAAATTTAAATAAATCATTCACTTATCATTCATTTAAGAATTATTGATTAAATAATATATTTTTAATTTTTAATATATTAAAAAATAATAATTATAATTTAAAAATGAGAACAGATTACGTTTAATTTATAAAATAAATATCTCTAATTTAATGATACCTTCATCTATTATTACATCTAAAGAATTGTATATAAAATGAAATATAATTTTATTAAATTTACTATTATATAGAATATCAATAATACTCCAACTCTGGTAAACAATCCACATATAACCACTTATTCATTTACATTCTGCCAATTAGCTGAATGGTTAGTAATTGATATCAAATATTCTCGAACAAAATATTTAAATGTAATCAATTCCATTTCAACCTCTTCACAATTCCTCTTATTACAATACTCTCGGAATTAGTGATGAAAATAGGAAAAATTTGCTTCAATGATCTTAATTTTGAATCAAAATTGTTAAAAAATGAACAATGAATATAAAGAGGAAGAGATAAAGGAGAGAAAACAGAAGCGAGTAGAGGAAGTTAAATAATTATTATAAAAGCAATTTTCTATTTTTGAGAATTGGAAGTTCAGTATTTTATGAAATAAATTTTTATTTTAACGTTACTTAATTTTTATATTTTTGTTAAAAGATAGTGCAAGAGAGAAATGATTTGATCAATATAATTTTATATAATTCATGAATGTATTGTATACGATAACATTATCCTATAAATTACTGGCATTCTTTAAATGCTATCGGGAAACCTTGAGCTTCATTATCTATCAGCCTTTTGGTGTATGTGTGTATAGTCTTTTCTTAAATCCTTAGAGAGCTCGACGAGTCGACCCAGGGATCCTCGTTACGGTTATTTACCGAAGACCAGTACTGATTAATTCCAAACCATTCCCCTTGTTCCTCACCCCTTCTGAATTCTGCGCCGGACAATGTATCCAACTCCGAGTACTATCCTCAATCTTACTCTCCGGCCTTCGTCTGTTTGGTATTTGCGGTCAATAGATTCAGAATTACATTCGCATGTCTGGTACAAGCATTTTCAACAAATAAGATCCGTAGGACATTTCGGGGAAAGTTTTGAAAGGCTCCAATTTCCTTGACTCTTGTGAAACTCGATGTAAATATTCCGAGTAACTTGAATTGTCGTATTTTCCAGATTTAAATTACCTATCAAGAGACATGGTGATATTTTGATGTCAAATACACAAAATTCATTTGGCTGAATATTAATTGTATAAATATCATATATATTATTTTCTCTTTGTTCACAAAATAGCTTTATTTTAGAAAACAATTGGATCTGATCTAATTACATTTTTTAGTTTTTTAATAATCAGTCATTTTTTAATTTCAATATGATAGTAGATTTTCAAATCATTATATTTATTAATATTTATTAATATAATATATTTTTCGCTAACTTTTTAGAATATTTTAAAAATACAAAATAATAAAATGTTAGATGCTCTCTCTCTCTCTCTCTCTCTCTCTCTCTCTCTCTCTCTCTCTCTCTCTCTCTCTCTCTCAATTTTACCTGATGTTTCCCTGTAAATATTTCAACTGAAAACGTAGCAGCCTTTCATAAATAGTTGTGACACTTGCAAAGAGAATCAAATCGAAATATTTCCTATATATTTCCGTTTCCGCTTAAATATTATCGTTCTATGTACTTTCATTCTTGCTTAAATATTATTTCTACCTCTAAGATACACGTGCGCAGAAAGTAGGTGAATTAAAAAAGTTATACGGCACATTACACACAAGTTGCTCATCTAAGTATGGAGAACATCAGTAAGATTGCGTTCTTCAACAAACTTAGTCATTTTTTTTTTTTTAATAAAAGTTTGATCGGCGGTCATCGTTCTTCGTTCTTTTCTAACTTTTGACAAGGAATACTTCAGTATAACTTATCTTCGCAAATTAAGTTTCTAAACTTTGTGTCTCTATCTCAGTAAATTTTTGGTTAAAATCAAGTCTTGAAATCATCAAAAATCAGGATTTCTTTCGCACTAATTCTTGAACTATTTTCATTTTCGTTTCGTTATCGTCTATTATGACTATTATTGACTTACCAGAATGTTTGAGAGATATTAACAGAGACAATACCAAATTTTTCACAATTTCGTTAACTCCGATAGACTTTTACACGTATCAACGATAAATTGAATTCTGGATTCTGGAGCGCTTCTTCGAGACTACCGAACATAAAGTCACTAGATTAACAAAATACCGCAATTTTGATCTCAATAAGATAAGATGGAGCAAAAATGGCGTCCGATAGTGCAGATAGTGCACACTTTGGCTGTGTTCTAAAATTCACTGTCAGTACTGAAAATCTATAGTGTACGTCATGTAAACTATGGATTTTCAGTACTGGCAGTGAATTTTGGAACGCAGCCTTTGTGTAGCTATTTATACTAAGTGCAATTTTTCTAACCTTGATCCTGGTTTGTCCTGTGTTCTGTTGTATATGAGGTGAGAAAACTCCTTCTGTTGTGCAGAAAAAGAAGAAAATATCAAAAATGCCAGGTTGTTGCGTGGAAAAATGCAACAATCGCAGCCTATATCTATACTATTGGACGCCATTTTTGCTCCAGCTTATCTTATTGAGATCAAAATTGCGGTACTTTGTTAATCTAGTGACTTTAAGATCGCCTAAAAGCAGACTATGACAAAAAAGAGTGAAAACTATGAACAACTTTGTTGTTTGTTTTATAGATTTTAAAAATGGCTTGTCGTATGCTACATATTTAGAGTTGTAAATAATTTGATAAAAAATGTTCAATCTGTAAACAATGGTAACGCAAATGAAATATATCATTGTCTCTAAATCATTATATGTAATTAACATATAATGTGTATTTAAAATTAATTTATCAATTTAACTCTAATAAAATTATGAAATTTTTTTCAGGTATATTATTGTTTAATATTGTTTAATTTATTGCTTATCAGTCATTCACATTTATTAAAAATAGTCACTTTATTAAATAATGTGAGAAACTCTATATTTTTTGCGAATAATAAGTAGAACTTTTATGGATATAGCATTTTGATAATAGTTTATATTTACAGTAGAAAATAATTTGTATTTCACTGTGCTTTTGTTCTATAGGACCTGAAGATGAATTATGAAAGGATGTGACAAGTATCAGTAATGCAGAAAGACGCAGAGGTAGAGCAAGAAGAGTAGTGAAAAGAGAGAGCTCCTAAATAAAGAGCAAATTATTGGCATGGGAAAAATTCCGATACAATTTCCTGGTCTAAACACTCCTGTGTTTAGAGGAAAAGAATTAATTCAACAGCAAAAACTGCTTGTAAATCTTGAAAGAAAGCAAAAACTTATGGAATTACCACAAAGTCAGACCAGATCAATACAAATAAAATTATCGCCATTGGAATGTGGTTGGACGAGTGTTACAATGGATGGCAGAAGCATTGAATCAGATCTTATTGGAAAAGGTTAATATTTATGCTATTATTGGATTATAATGGTTAAATCACACACATACAAAAATCATGTGATATGATGTTTACTTTCAATTTTTTTTTTATGTTTCAGTTCTAAATATTAGAATCTTATATAATTAATATCTTTGTTTTCTGCAGATACATTTGAAAGTTTTGAAACCTGGATTTTGGAAAACAAAATGATAACTTGTATGACCGGTAATTTAGCACGTAAGACTAGAATCAGTTCATTTATAGTAACTGGAAATGGAAATGGATTAGCTGGATTTGCGTTATCAAAAGCCAAAGCATCCCTAAAGACGGTTAAAAATAGGGCTGCTCAAAGACTAATGTATATTCCTACATATAAGGAATACACTGGTAAGAAAATAATTGTCAATACTATATAATATAAAATTTATTTCTTCTCTTTTAATATCACTTTGTATTTTTCAGTGTTACATGATTTCTTTACACAGTTTGAGAATATAAAAATATTTGTAAAGAAAATTCATGAAGGATAATGGGCTTGTTTGTCATCATGCGATAAAAGCGTGTTGCGAGATAATTGGCATAAAGGATATGTATGCCAAAGTACAAGGAGGAATGTAAAAACATTCTTTACTGGTTTATTGCAACAGGTATGTATATAAAGTATTTAAAGGCATATTATACTTTTTATTTAATTTATATTAGAAAGAAACATTTTTTATTTATAAAAATATATTAAAAATGATAGATCTATATTTAGTAGTTGGAAAGAAAGAGAGGAGAAATGAAAAGTGCATCTAGTTAATTTAAAAGAATAAAAATCTAAAAATAATACATAAAAATTAATATTATGTATTTTTTTCATGAGGAATGTGGGGCGCACATTTATGCATTTATTTATTTAGATGAGATTTACTTTAGCATTCAGTACATTCAGTATTCAACTTTAATTTTATTTTCTCTTTCTTATGATATATAAGTATAACATAATTACCTGCAAATGCTATCATTTTTGTGTGCTTACAGTGATACAGAAGCAACATTACAAGTACTATATTTACAGATAACATCTGTATAATAAAAAAAGCAAAAATCCAATGATGAAAAAAGGATAAATATTGTAGACCAGCATAAGTATCAACCAATTATTCCACCGCTCTGTTTCATTAGAGTTGCAATTTTCTTTTATATCATAAATATTATAAATAAGATAAAGATTTCTGTACGTTTCAAATAAATTTATATATTTTATGTATGTAATACTGCGCACACATATTAAAAGGTGATAATATCGCAGTTATAATATATAATAATCTTATATAAATATCTTATATATATAATATATATATAAGATACGATCCTGGCAATGTAGTGATTTTTGGATCCTACTTAACATAATTTAATTTGATTTATTTTTGAGAAATGCGCACAATACTTGAGAACAAATTATTTTTGTGCCATGTATTACCTGTGTAAAATTGCACACAGAGTATCATATTGTCTGCGATATATGAAAAGCTTCATCGATGAAATATGATTGAGATATAAGAAAAGTAATATAGTACTTGTAATGAATAACGTTAATGTGGAATACATAAATATTTTTTATTTTAATTTCATATAATCAAGATGAGATAAGACACTCATGGTTACTTTAAAAATGTGTCCACAAATATCATGTAACTTCAATAGCTGCACATTCGTCAAATTAATCCTATTACGTTAAATGAATCACAGCAGCTTGTTTTAATTTAATCTAACCTAACCAATTATATTATATGCTCCTCATTAAAATGTGTAAAACTGTACGTCGCACATTTAATGCGATTAATATACTACGTAATAAAATGTAATACACTAATGAAATAAGTAAATATTATTTTTGAAAGCATGATACAATCCTGGCAGCATACGCTTGTATTTACATTCGATATCCAAAGCCACTGAGAGATTAGGTTAGGTTAGATCAAACAAATTTATCGTTTAACAGTTGGCAGCCCTACGAGATAGGCTGTACAGTACTGCGCGCGCGTACAAAATAAATTTGAAATCGCTTCTAGCATAACCATCTTCACGCGATCGACTTTATTTGAATTGTACCGAATCGAATTATGATGCCGATTTGTCCGAATGTAATTCGGGACATCGCGATGCTGTATAAGCGTCGAATGAGCACAAATTATCACGCAAATATGATAAATCAAATCTACTCACCGGCTGTTCCACAGGCCGCTCCTCCTCGGGACAGTTCGCTCGCCTTGGGACGTCCCATTCCGATCTTGATGCACACAAATCCACACGATCATCAACGCGAACGCGCGACACTTTATTCGGCACTCCCGATACTCGCTCGCATCCGATAATCATCATCAAGGGCCCGAATAACGCGACGCAATTTCGCTCCATCTTCCCAATGACGCCATCACTGAATATCGTCAAAAATCGCTGTTGCGCGTTTCCATCGACACACTATAAAAGTCGCGCGATCATCTTTGGACACTCTCGACGCTCGTTCACTCGCGATATTCGTTTAAAAACGGTTAAAAGATGCGAAAAATGCGGATGTACGACGATCCGTGTAACTGCGTGTGACTCCGATTCCCGTATGACGCGTATGACGTAGCAGTGACGTAGCAGTCACGCGCCAACATGGCGGCCGAACCACTGCGCATTTGTTTCTGCGCATGGCCATTCCTGTGCTCAACGTTCGCGCAACTTTGATTTCTGAAAGCACATAATGATAAATATATAAAGATAGAATCAATTAATCATATTGGTCATATATGTAGACTTGCCCGAAGAAACAGAGAAAAAATTGAGAGATATTTTTAATTTCTTTTTCTTTTAGTAAAGAATGGAAATGTCTATTCATAGGGTTGTTCTTTTTTTCCTCTTTCGCGCAATTTCGATTCAATATATAACGTAAAAAATTCATAGTATATTATGCTAATGATATGAATTACGAATGATTCGATTGTTTTATCGCGCTTTTCCAAAGTCAAATCTTATAATATTTACTTTTGCATTTTACAAGACTGAGAGCGATTCATATACAGAGTTTGAAGAGATATCCAATGCACGACAAATTATACTTGCGTTGATTAGTATCAATCCCGAACTGTTAATCGCGAATACGTACAACACTTTCACACATTTTTTTCGCAAAGAACGATATACGAAATGCAATATTTCGCGCTTCGCGTTTCACTCATGCGGCCATCTTTCTTTGCTGTTTAGTATCGCCATCTGCATTCGCGTTAAACGCCAGAATTACGTAGTCAAAATACTTTTCGAGTGCCGGTAAAGTCATCATTTTATGCATGTCGGTAAATTGTTAAAATCACGTCGCGCAAGCATAATTTTTTTATTTGTAGTATAACAAAATATGTAATTAAAAATTCATGTAAGAAACGTATTTTTAATCAAATTACATATACTTATTCCGTTACTCTAATACTTGTACGTTAACAGATTTAGGTTACACACATTGCATAAAGCTTCCAGAGAAAAATATCCAGAGGCACAAATATTTTATAAACGAAAATCATGCGAAGATGAAACAATAGATTAAAGAAGCCGTATAATCATTGTACTTTTATGTATAAACGTTTCACAAAATAAAATCTTTATAAATGAAGTGTTACATTAAAAATATTAGTATAAAATTAAATATCGATGTGAGATTTAAAATTTTTTGTCCTTTTTTTTCTTTAGAATTTTTTTACTTTTTTTTCTAAAGATTCTTTAAGCGAGAACTGCTTCTTTCGCAAGACTATTGAACAATTTGAATGTTTGATATTTTCTTAGTAGTTTAAATTTCGTGAAAAAATTCGAGAGAAAATTAGATTTTATCGTATTACTGCACATATCGATTAAATGCTATATCAAATATGTAGTGTAAATATTTTAATTTTTTTGTATACGATCTACTTTTTATTCTATCGATGTTTTCATAGTGATGCACCTTGAGCACTTTGCTTCATGTTTGCAATAAAAATATATTAAAGCAAATTATTTTGCAAATTTATTATTCTAATTTTTATTTAGAAAGACTAAAATTAAAAAAGACGTATGCATTTTTTTCAGATATTTCTATTGAAAAAAACGCATCAGATAAAACTTTCCTGTACATTTTAAATGCGCCAAAAGATTTGCTCTTTATTCCACTTACTGCAATAATGTACACTAAAAATGACAGATCTGTATTAAAAATGATAGATCTATATTTGGTAGTTGGAAAGAAAGAGAGGAGAAATGAAAAGTGCATCTAGAGAATTTAAAAGAATAAAAATCTAAAAATAATAATACATAAAAATTAATATTATGTATTTTTTTCATGAGGAATGTGGAGCGCACATTTATGCATTTATTTATTTGGATGAGATTTACTTTAGAGCACATTCAGTATTCAACTTTAATTTTATTTTCTCTTTCTTATGATATATAAGTATAACATAATTACCTGCAAATGCTATCACTTTGTGTGCTTACAGTGATACAGAAGCAACATTACAAGTACTATATTTACAGATAACATCTGTATAATAAAAAAAGTACCAAAAATCTAATGATGAAAAAAGGATAAATATTGTAGACCAGGATAAGTATCAACCAATTATTCCACCGCTCTGTTTCATTAGAGTTGCAATTTTCTTTTATATCATAAATATTATAAATATAAGATAAAGATTTCCGTACGTTTCAAATAAATATATATATTTTATGTATGTAATACTGCGCACACATATTAAAAGGTGATAATATCGCAGTTATAATAAGATACGATCCTGGCAATGTAGTGATTTTTGGATCTTACTTAAAATAATTTAATTTAATTTATTTTTGAGAAATGCGCACAATACTTGAGAACAAATTATTTTTGTGCCATGTATTACCTGTATAAAATTGCACACACAGTATCATATTGTCTGCGATATATGAAAAGCTTCATCAATGAAATATGATTGAGATATAAGAAAAGTAATATAGTACTTGTAATGAATAATTAATGTGGAATACATAAATATTTTATATTTTAATTTCATATAATCAAGATGAGATAAGACACTCATGATTACTTTAAAAATGTGTCCACAAATATCATATAACTTCAATAGCTGCACATTCGTCAAATTAATCCTATTACGTTAAATGAATCACAGCAGCTTGTTTTAATTTAATCTAACCTAACCAATTATATTATATGCTCCTCATTAAAATGTGTAAAACTGTACGTCGCACATTTAATGCGATTAATATACTACGTAATAAAATGTAATACACTAATGAAATAATTAAATATTATTTTTGAAAGCATGATACAATCCAGGCAGCATACGCTTATATTTACATTCGATATCCAAAGCCACTGAGAGATTAGGTTAGGTTAGGTTAGGTTAGATCAAACAAATTTCGTTTAACAGTTGGCAGCCCTACGAGATAGGCTGTGCAGCATTGCGCGCGCGTACAAAATAAATTTGAAATCGCTTCTAGCATAACCATCTTCACGCGATCGACTTTATTTGAATTGCACCGAATCGAATTATGATGCCGATTTGTCCGAATGTAATTCGGGACATCGCGATGCTGTATAAGCGTCGAATGAGCACAAATTATCACGCAAATATGATATCAAATCTACTCACCGGCTGTTCCACAGGCCGCTCCTCCTCGGACAGTTCGCTCGCCTCGGGACGTCCCATTCCGATCTTGATGCACACAAATCCACACGATATCATCAACGCGAACGCGCGACACTTTATTCGGCACTCTCGATACTCGCTCGCATCCGATAATCATCATCAAGGGCCCGAATAACGCGACGCAATTTCGCTCCATCTTCGCAATGACGCCATCACTGAATATCGTCAAAAATCGCTGTCGCGCGTTTTCATCGACACACTATAAAAGTCGCGCGATCATCCTTGGACACTTTCGACGCTCGTTCACTCGCGATATTCGTTTAAAAACGGTTAAAAGACGCGAAAAATGCGGACGTACGACGATCCGTGTAACTGCGTATGACTCCGATTCCCGTATGACGCGTATGACGTAGCAGTCACGCGCCAACATGGCGGCCGAACCACTGCGCATTCGTTTCTGCACATGGCCATTCCTGCGCGCAACGTTCGCACAACTTTGATTTCTGAAATATTGTTTACGGCTTTAATTAATAGCACATAATGATAAATATATAAAGATGGAATCAATTAATCATATTGGTCATATATGTAGACTTGCCTGAAGGAAGAGAAAAAATTGAGAGATATTTTTAATTTTTTTTTTTTTAATAAAAAATGGAAATGTCTATTCATAGGCTTGTTCTTCTTTTTCTCTTTTGTGCAATTTCGATTCAATATATAACGTAGAAAATTCATAGTATATTGCATTTATTTTTATATATTCACAACTATAATATTCGCGCGATCATTTTTTGACATTTACAATACTCGTGTACCTTGTTCTCGATGTTCATTTTTAAAGGAATAAAGAGAATTATATATAAATGTAAATAAATTGTCCGAAGAGAGAAAAAATTGAGGGATATTTTTAGTTTTTTTAGTAAAGGTTGGAAATGTCTATTCATGATAGAATGCAAAGAGAGAAAATTATTATGTTTAAAATAATAATTTCATATGAAATACAAAATTAAAAGTTACATTATAGAACTTTACTTTCTAAAAGCGTAATAAAACAATCAAATAATAGACAGAGAAAAGACTAATTGTAAAAGAAAAAATGTTGTTAACTTAACTAAACCATTTAACTAAATTATTATCTTTTTAACTGGAATATTTAACTATAAATCTAACATGACATTTATTTAACTTAAATATTTCAATATTTTAATTTAAAAAATAATAATTTAGTTAAACGGTTTAGTTGAGTTAACAAAAACTTTTTTTTCTCAATGTACGTGTGTGTGTGAGACTTTAAAAATATACTTGGATATAAATACACTTATATTATTAAACGATTAATACATCTCGTGAGGTTTAATAAATAATTAAACTGTGTACACTGAGAAAAAAAGTTGTTAACTAAACCATTTAACTAAATTATTATCTTTTTAATTGGAATATTTAACTATTATAAATCTAACATGACATTTATTTAACTTCAATATTTCGATATTTCAATTAAAAAAAAAATAATTTAGTTAAACGATTTAGTCGAGTTAACAACTTTTTTTCTCAGTGTACGTGAGTGTGTGTGTGTGTGTGTTGTGTGTGTGGTGTGTGTGTGTGTGTGTGTGTGTGTGTGACTTTAAAAAATATACTTGTATATAAATACAATTCTCACAGTACGCGTTAAATATTTCGGCAGCGAGCTAACACGTCATGCGACCTTGTGACGTAGCGAGCTAACACGTCATTCGACCTTGTGACGTAGCGCGCTATTGTTTACATACGCGACGACCTCCCCTCATTCGCACGGCGCATTCCAACGGAGAAAGTAGCGATACGGACCGCTCCGTATTATCGAATTCTTTTCCTAAAAGTACGATCGCGATTAGATCGAAATATAATAATTCGACTATTACAATTGACAAATAATTAATTATTAAATGACATGAAATTGTGGCGACGATAAATTCATCGAAACGCGATCTTTCATTATTGCAAATAAAAATTGAAGCGAAAGGGGCAAAAATTACAAATTTTCTCGCAATATTCTCCAATTATCGAACTTTACGAATAATAATTATTTCTTTAACATTGCATAGAATAAAATTCGATTTCGCCCGATGTTTTAAACTTTCCTAAACTGCATGCATATATATCATATTAATTAAACGATTGCTGTATCATCAATTTACATTACTTTAATATTTTAATCTTATGATTCGCGTTATTATCCATATATTATACATCAACAAATAGAAATAGTTAATTAGTGTAAGAATCGAGTGGTGCATGATTTTGGCTTTGTTTAAAAATCGAGCGAATTATTGTAATTTTTCCTCTCTTGCAATAATAATAAAATAATAATAATATTATAAAAATACGTATCTCCTATGATTATTTTGCGATCGGGAGTGCCGTGCAAAGTGTCTCGCGATTGTTTCTGTATATGACTGAAATATAATTAACTGAAATATAATTGTTTGTTCGCGAGTGAATACGTGACTGCTACGAGGAAACAACAAAGGATGAAACAACAAAAGAAAAGGACATCTGGAAAAGTATCGGACAGTCAGAAAGCAGGGAGAGAGCCTGAAGCAGCCAGAGACATGCGGTGAGTAATTTATAAAA